GATTCTAATTCTAAAGTGATAATTGATTCTAATTCTATAGTGATAATTGATTCTAATTCTAATGTGATAATTGATTCTAATTCTAAAGTGACAATTGATTCTAATTCTAAAGTGATAATTGATTCTAATTCTAAAGTGATAACTGATTCTAATTCTAAAGTGATAACTTGATTCTGCTTCGAATTCTAAATTATAAATGATTGTAATTCTAAAACGATTAACCCTTAATCTCATAGGATGAATGTCGTGACGAGATGTTCATGATAACGGAGGGGGGCACAACTTTCCTCTACCTCTCCAGTGGACGGGCGACTACGGCTTTCGTTTCTTTTTGAATAAATTCAAATTTGAATCTAGAGTATGTCGTTTACCTGTCCTCGCCATGAACTTATTTTCGTCATCCCCTGAACAATTAAAATATCCAAAATACACCATCTTAAGAATCTATTTCCTATGATTTTCAAGCTACAGCATTGAGAGATATAGCATTCGGTTCGTATGAAAATAAGTAGCGATGATCTGGTCTTTTTTAGCGTATTTTCTCATTTATGGAAAAAATGCCCTATTGTGCTCGCCATGTCTGTCTGTCTGTCCGTCTGTCTGTCCGTCCGTGTCTTCATGTTTTCGTCGACGAGAAAATGCGCTCTCTGTCACTCACTGCAGTGAGTACTGAGTTATATTTTTTCTTTCAGTCCCGATGTTAACTTCAACGCTAGACTCGTCATTAAACTCGGATCACGTTCTCCCACACCCAACTGGTGAGTCTTATTACCACTTGAACTTTTATGTTATTTTTGTTGCATCTTACATTTTGGAATAAGTCATTTTAAGTGAAATACGTAGTTTTAGCCTGTCTTTCTCATCTGTTAATCATTTACCTGGTTTTTGGCCGGCCGGTGCTATATTGGGCTAAAACTTTCCTCCCGTAAGCTCTATTCATGTAAGTGGCACCAATACTCCCGCCATTATTCACTCGTCCTCGTATTGTATTTTTGATTCTTTAACTACCTAGATTATTCCTGTTTGATTATTCCGTTAATTTATTTGCAAATAAATTCTATGGAACGAATTCTTGAATTTCTCTCGGCAGCTACACCGAATGCTAGCAAGCTGTATCCCTTAACAACAAGATAACTCTAGTATCATGTTTTTTGATGCTAAGTCTTATCTATGTTTTTATATTCTCGAACAGCTAACATATCAATAGGTTTCTCGAAAATATTGACATTTTTGAGTCCACGTACGAACCAATGCACATGTTGCGTTCACAACACTCGCCTAGAATAGCTGTTGCTATGAGAATATACCTGACCTTGTCGTGTAATCAGTGAATCTGTGAGAAACACCAACCTGCTGCGCACGATATAAATATGGTAACTTAATAGAACAACGCACTGCATACTTGATGGTATTTCTCCTGAACATACTTTTCCTTCAAGAGGCTTCATAAACTTGTTGACTTTCGTTTGTTTTAAATTTCCAAAGATTTCATTCAGAGTTATACTCCCCTAGGACCACCCGGATGTTTCCGTCGACGATCATCTGCTTGCTGCTGCTCATCATCGGTGAGTGTCTTCTGCATAGGAATTAGAACAACCATTAGGTGAAGAATTGTCAGCTTTTGCTAAGTAGTTAGAGCTTTTGTTAGTGTCTGCTTCTTATTTTTATTAAGAGTGTAGTCAATTGGCAGCGAAATAATTGTCAAACCGTGAAATTAATGAAATCAGGAAAAATCATTCAGCAGCTCTGGCTGATTTAACAAAATTTTCGCAATGCTTTATATTTTTTTTCAAATTAGTAAAGGGTCATTTAATGTCAAGTGCACCACTTTTTATTGAAAATCTGTCACACCTGACCATCATAAATTTTGATGAAATTTTACACATTAGTTGGATCCTGTTTCAAACCAACATTGAAAAAATTTTCAGCTCAAATATGAAAATATTTCAGCTCAAATCTCCAACTTCAGGTCATTAAGTTCGGGTCGAATAAGGTCAAACTTGGCCGAAAATCTAAAATTAAGAAAAAATTCACAAGTTCAGTTCCCTGTAAATCACAGGAAAATGTATAAATTTCCACGATACATGTACAGTCTATTGCGTAACATTGTATACACAAAAAGATCGATAATTCACTTGATTTTTCAGCAACAATCATCTAAAATTGCTAATAGAAGCTTCGGAGCCATTTTCCAACAATGTTTAAGGGAACCATTTAGGTCTAAAATAGAAATTTTTGGCTTTTACGTTTTCTTGGCTCATTATGTAGCTTCATGAAAGGCGCGTCTAACGCAGCAAACCGCATATCTGTGCGTACTATATTTCTTGCGTAAAGCAATTTAAAAATGTTTAAAATGAACATTTTTTAACAATACTAGAAAACGTACAATTACAGCAATGTGTACAAAGATTTATTTAAAGTAAATCTGTATTTTATACATCTGGACTATTCTTGTTAATTGCAAAGTCTTTGTACTCGTTTGGAAGCTATGAAAACAAGACTCGTTCAACAAAGCTACTACCATGGATGTACATGCAGCAATTTTTTCGTAATGCATTTTTAAACTTATATAAAATGAATATATATATTATATTTATTGGTCCACTTTTCCAGACTTTAATTTTTTTTTCAAAATTACAAACAAATTTTTTTAACCCCAGTAGAACCGTCTCGAGTAACGTAAAGAAGGTTTTAGACACGCCTAACCCTAACTCTAATCCTAACCTAATGAGGTTGGCGTTTTTATGATATCCGATAATGTAGTTCATTTATTTTCGCGTTCGGTTTTTAAGTAGGATAACATTGGGCGACGAGCCCACTGCGGGTCACGGGCCCATAGCGGTTTCTCGCTAAGTATGGCAGATATTGGTCCGTGTTCTCTATAGCCGGTCGACAGTTTCACTGGGATGAAGTGTACGGATTTACGTTTGCTAAGTGTTTGCGTTATCAAGTTATTTGTGAATAACTGTTTTAGCCCAGATAAAAATATTTGCTGCTAAATAAAACTGTTTTCGATTACTGTAGATGAAGCTTTTGAAATTACTGTGAATTATGTTTTGAAAGCAATATTTATAGGGATAATTTTGAGATCAAATTTAGACTATTAGCTTTTAAAATAAAATGTTGACACGATATAAATAGAAATGACACCTAGTGGAGCAACGGACCCACGCGTGTCACGGGGCAAAGCGCCCATGGCGAAGTCTTGTGTCATCACATTAGATTTGTTATCATTAGATTTGTCTCAATGACCTTTTCAAAACTATGACTAGCTTTTTGAATTACAAATTACACTTCATATTGTATGATTTTTTGATTTGCCGCCTCAAGGCAGCAGGTTTAGTTTCTAGTTATGGTATTTATGACCCCTTATCGAGTTATTGACTCTTGCCTTGTCATAAGTTGGTTTCAGTCAACACCAATGAGCCAAAAAAATGACTAGTTTTTATGGTGTTGGCTGAAATCGCGATTAAGTGCGAATTCTCTGCACATATCTGGATTATGAACGAAACTGGAACGAAGTTTTTTCTGATCAACTAAATATATTTTTTCTAGCCAAGGATACATTTTTCATGTCAATGACGAATTTTTTATCGCAAGGATATATTTTTCAAGTCAAGGATATATATTTTTCTGTCAATGAAATACTTTTCTTCACGTCAGTGATAGATTTTTTAAGCCAAGAGTATATTTTTTCGAGTTAAGGATATGATTTTTGAGTTGTTAATAAATGAATAAATGTCATATTTTTATTACATTTTTCTTATTTTTAACTGTTAATTTTTTTTTATCATTTTTAGACGAAAAATATGCAATTGTGGTAAAGGGACCAAGGGTGGGCGCCTTGCCCCAAGCCCATGGGCCCATTGCCCCAGGGGTGGGGCAATGGGCCAATTTTGACACTTTTTACAAAAATAGTATTTCATTAAAAATTGAATAACTCTATAGGCGTCTAATTCACATCATACATTCCTCATTAGTTGTACCTTTAAACAAACCAAAGAACCACCTCGTGTCAACCCATGTCGCCTTACAAACTAATTGCAGAGTATATAACCGGACGCAAATTGCTTTTATTTTACCTTTTACGTATCTGCGTGAAATTTCAGAAAGATAGGTTGATAACCTCTTTCCGGGACGGAAATGGTCCCATTAACTGTTTTTAAGGAGAGCATGTCGGTCAAAATTTTGGATCTTGACTTTTCCGGTTGTTAGTCTCATCTTAATGCTGACATTCTGACCTATCCAACGGTACCAAAACCATCTTTGTACGTTGATTTATGCGTTCACTATAGATCTCGTAAGGGGGGGAGTTGCCCGGGCCCCTTCAGTAAAGTTAAGGCGGAAATTACCTCGCCGAGCACCATAAAGAGGATCGTCTGACGTCAAGCGGCCAATTATGACATTCTCCAGTTCTTATAATCATCTTAAAGCTGCTTTTCTGACGTATTCAACGGTACCAAAACCATCTCTGTACGTTGATTTATGCGTTCAATACAGATCCCAAAAGGGTGGGGGGTGGGGGGCTCTTTAACATTTAAGATACGGGATAATTAGCTGCCGAGCACTTAAATAGTGTCTACACGAGCTGCACCTCAGTTACTCGCCTGGCGTCGCATGGGGTGGTGTGCATGTAGTCGTTCCCAGCTCCCTGACTGGAATCAAGCTCCAGTAACGTTTAGTTTCGTATCCTTGCTACATTGAGTGGCTATTCGGATGCGGGCGGGACTTTTTTGGGCTCTACTGAACATTCACACTTATTGTCACGGCAAACCTATCACCTCCTAGAATTTTGAAGCAACAGCGATGAGAGATGCACCATTCGATTTGTAATGAAAAGATCTAGCGATTGTCGAGCCATTTCTTTCTATTTAGTTTTAATTTGGATTATATATTGCAAAATGGAGGGGAGGAGGGGGAAATTTCGAAAATTCGAACATTTTCAGAAAAATCATCATAACAAGAGAATCAAGAAAAAATTTGGAAAAGTGGCTCGACAATTGCTAGATACTGTCTTTACAAATCGAATGATACGTTTCACGATGTTGTAGCACGATATTTGTAGGAGATAGATTTTCTAAAGTACTCCCTTTTTGGCCGTTTTCTATGAATTCACGTTTTCTTTCATTTTTTTCGAAAAATTCACACGAACAAAATTGTCGTCATTTTCGGTTTTACATATGTGTACCAAGTTTGGAGATGATCCTTCCCTAAATATAGAAAATAGATATCTACCGACATAGCTCCCCTTAAACACAAACTTAGTAAGTTCTACTAAACTAATTTGGTTGAAACAGTTTAGTTAGAAACAAAAAATTTTGTACTATAACAGATATGTTAATCCTAGCCCTGACATTCTTCTTGCCAAGGAAGAAAACATAGTTAAAAAATACTGCATTTGCCTCATTATTGCACCACATTGGAATAACTAGAAATTCTTTTGAATTAGATTCTACATTGCAGAAGGCAGTAGTATACTATTGTAGCGACCATGGGCCGTATTATCAAAACTTCGTAAGTACGCAAAATCGACTTATGAGTTGCGTTGCTATGACAACGTAATACTAGCGGTGGTATTATAAAAACATTTGCCCGGGAAAAATTTGCACGGGAAAAAAATTTAGGCTTTTAGCTAAGACTTGCGTACAAAAGTTTTGATAAAGCCAAAATTAGGGTGTATTTACGTACCACAGAACTTTTTTGTCGTAAGTACAAAAAGTTTCGAAGTTTTGATAATCCGGCCCCATGTCAGTAGGCAGTAGTGTACTGTTGTACCCCCGCAACTCATTTATTTATGTTCAAATCTGTTTAGTACTTTTGGAAGAAATTTCTTGATTACTGCGAATTTAAGAACGTATTGCTGTTTAAATCACGAATGAAGGTGAAATAAAAAAAAAATAGCGAACAAAGGCACAATCGAATACATTTTCACGAGCTAAACATTACCGTTTGGTAGTTAGGGTACGCACGCAGTGAAAGCAGGTTTCCAGCGTGCTGGTTACCTGCTCAGGCTTGCGCCTGAAACCATAAGTACAGAAGCCTATTCGTACAGGTTTTCACTGTGAACACTTACATTATTATCCTATGTTCATTCTTGTGGCAGGTTGAAACCATAGCATACAGAAGCCTATTCGTACAGGTTTTCACTGTGAACACTTACATTATTATCCTATGTTCATTCTTGTGGCAGGTTGGAGCAGGTTGCCCGCGCGGGCAAACCTGCTTTCACTGTGTGCGTACCCTTAGGACTGTAAATTCAAAATTACGTTCGAATCTGCTCAATAATTTGGAAGAAATTCCTTGATCACTGTGAATTGCGGCCCGTATTGCCATATAACTATGGCAAAAACAAATGAGGGCAAAATTCAAAAAAATTTCACGAGCTAAACATTACCATTAGGTCCTAATGAATGCGTGTACCAAGTTTCATCGAGTTAAGTTCATTCGTTTGAGAGATATTCCTTGATCATTGAATTTGGAAATTGGCAGTGGGATGGGCTGCGAGTCCGGCCTTAATTTGTCTGAGACGTAAACCCAGGAGAGGTTAAAATAACAGATCTGGGTGAAAAAACCATCGCTGGGAGTCATGCGCAGCACGTGTTGTGTATAAATCGTCAAACAAACGTTGGAACGTCAGACTTTGATTTCGGACGAGCTAAACATTATCCATTCACCAACCTCCCCCCTACCACCGTTTTCTTCCTTACCGCCCCCCAAAATCTTTCCACCGCCCCTATAGGAGGGTGCTATCGCCCACTTTGGGAACCACTGTGATAAACTATGGTCACCATGCCTCCTGTTTCACTTATGTTCACCATGCCTCTCATTTATTCCATAAATTAGAAAATGCGCTAAAAATGCTGCATTTGCTTCATTATTGCACCACATTGGAATAACGATAAAATCTTTTGAATTAGATTCTGCATTGCAAAAGGCAGTTGAATACCATGTTTGGACACCCAAGCATGTGACAGCTCAATGGCGAAACGTACATGAATTTTCTGCTTTCTTTTTAACTATCTATTTTTTTCAATTTTGGAACGGCATACTTTTTTCATGAGGCTTCCTCTTTTTTTAAAGTCAACTCATTTGTTTTCCTACCTCCTTATTTGTTGTAGATTTCCAAGTTTATTAATGCTTATTCTCATTTTATAGATTCCAGAGTCGAGTTGTTTATTTCATCGAGGTGAATAAACACGTGTCAAAAGTGAAAAGCCTACAGATGCAGCCAACATAGTCTACAGGAATGAAGAGGAATGAATTTTAAAACAATTATTACCCATAGCTAGAATTACTTTTTATTATTATTTATTATTAGCCATAACTAGAATTAGCGTATGCTATAGTACAGAATTTTCTCTTAGTAATCAATGGTGTGTCAACAAAATTGGTATACTGTAACTATTCAAAAATCGTTGGAAATGGCTCTGAGGCGTTTATTAGCAAGTTAGGATGAAATTCACTGAAAAATCCAAGTGAATTATTAGTCAATATTGTATGTACACAATGTTACGTATGTTGGCAATAAACTGTACAGGTATCATGGAGATTTATTCATTTTCCAATGATATCCAGGACACTGTACTTGTGAATTGTTTCTGCTCTTTTGATTTCCGAGCAAGCTTGACCTTATTATGCATGAAAAATATTAACCATAAACTATTGAAACAATTTTTTCGTAAGCACCTTCTTGAGCTCTTCAGACACCTTAATTTCCAAATCAGTGGCTAGCAGAACAGTGGCCTGAAGTTGGATATTTTGAACCGTTCGATCGGGGAGATTTTCACCACCCCTCCTTTGAGGGCATATAATTTAATTTTTTTTTCTATTTTTAGCTGACATTTTGGCTTATTCGGGCTGAAATATGAGCTAAAATAATATGTGTGATTCTTTATCAAAATGGTCAGGTGGGTACTCTTGATTAATCTGACATGGAATGACCCTAAAGCCATCATTGGTTGTCCTTTGCTCCTATTGTTAAAGTTTTCGTATAATTTACGCTTGACAAATTGATTGTATTATCAAATTCGAATTCTCATATGGCAGGCGCTGTGGCAGCCGACTGTCCTGAAAGCTATGAGGTCGTCGGGTCCAAGTGCATCCACCGTTACACGGGTGGATATCTGACGTACGACGAAGCGGCCACTTACTGCACCCAGCACTTCGGCAGGCTGCCTGTGCTTAAAGACTGCGCTTCCTTCCTTGATGTCACCTCCTATGTCAACGATGGATGTAAGGTTATAACAGAAAACATGTTAAATTCAATAAACTTGCAGAGTTTAAAAATTTTGTTTTCAAAATGTTTGTCATCTCTAGGAACATTGTTAAGTCGACCCTCATATGTTAGAAGTTCACTTTAGCAAAAAAGTCTCTTCCTCTGCATGAACTTGATGTTTAGTGGAACCTGAATTTCAGCGAACATAACTAATCTGTAAAGGCACAATCGGTCCCCAGTGAGGACTTCTGATTGTTTTTTTTTGCACTATATATAAAACTCTATTATCATTAGACAAACACTGTGCATGTCTCTACGCTGATTTTTTAAAACTTGGTAAGTTGGCATGCCCTGTTAGCCGCAAGTGGAAGAATTTGATTCTACACTAATACTGCAGTACTTATTCACTCACAATTGGCCCTGTGTACAACACACCACAGCTTCTGTGTGTTAGCCGAAAATGTCAGGTGTCCGTACCACTCGGCTTGAGGCGACAGAGCAGCTGCTACCCTAACCAAATTCAGAGGCGTGGCAGCTTCTGATACGAGGAATCAGAAGCTGAGCTGGATCTAAATTTTAACAGGGTAGTGGTGCAAAATCTGCGCAACTCGAGGAGGTGGTCAGGTAGTTAAGGATCGGCGACAGGCCAACAGGCTCTAATCACCGCTAAAAGCTCTATATTAATTAATATTATTATTATTACATAATAATATTTCTATTACTTTTAACGTTGCACTCCATCAGCCTCAACTGATTGTAACGGCTACTGGTTAGGCGCGACCAATGGAACGCTCACCAATGTTTGGCAGTGGAGTGACGGAGCGGCCGTGCAAATGGGCGCTCCGTACTGGGCCATGGTGAGTCAATCCATGTTATTTCTGTACATGACTCAACATATTTGCTAAAAGGAAGTATATTTAATATGAAATTGTAAATGGATGAAGCTCAACTTATTATTATTACTTATTATTATCACGACTAGATGCGATAGGATTGAACAATATAATATGACAAACAGTATTATCAGGAATTTAAAAGCATAGAAAACAGCCAGAATATTAACCATTTCTTAAGAATGAAAACGTTAAGAGTGAACGAATGAAACGTTTAAGAATGAAAACGTTTAAGAATGAACGGGATAGGAGCCTTTAGCTCATATCCCCTTTAAATTGTAAATAGATAGGCCTGTATCATTATGTATACCTGCTTTTATTTTGTCAATTTATGTTTTTATCTTCGATGTGAATTTAGTTTTCTAATTGATTCTGATTTTCTTATAGGTTTTGAACTTTTGAACTGACGATGGAGCTGGACTCCGAAACGTTTTCATTCTTAAGAAATGGTTAATATTCTGGCTGTTTTCTTTGCTTTTAAATNATCCACTATGCTCAAGACCTTCAGTAGATGGTGAGTTACTCTTCTGTTTTGAAGCCTTGGAAGGTAACCTGAACAGAAAAGTGGAGAGAGTAAACACTTTGTGGAGGAATTTGTTCTAAGAAAGATTTTAATATTTTATCCAGTCAACTGCCAAATTAATCCCCTCGAAACAATTTTAAGCGCAAACTGCAAAATTACGCATAAAATTATTATGAGTTTGTACGTAATTTTGACTTGCCTGTTTAATTTTCAGGAGTTAGCTCTCAACATTAGATTGATATCTTACAAAAATTTACGGCAAAAGTGAAACATTTCAATAGATGCTTCAAGATTATCAAAAAAGGAAAAGTAACCATAATTAAGGAGGGTTAAAAAACTTGCAGCTATCCAGCTCAATAAAAATTGTTAGGTGAGGGGCTTCATGCAATATGCACTATGGACGTGTTGCAGTTTACGTGTTTACTTCCGAATTTTTATCGTTTTATCTTGCTTGATTTCATTCTGATGTTATTGCGACATGGTACGTATTGAACTTGAGGCTTGTATCAATAAATATTTACTAACATCCGGCACACCTTGTACCTGTAGGTTCAATGAACATTGCTTGTTGTACATAAAACGCTTGTTTTATATAGTTGTAAAGCAATATCTATAGTTCCGGTTTTAGGGTAAAGTTTGAAATGATAAATATTCCAGTTAAACAGGATGTAGGAGCTTGAAAAACACTTAGTTAAGTCAGATTGAACGTACGAATGGCTGGATCCTTGGAAAAGCGGAGCTAATCTCTAATGCAATGACTTCTCAAAGTTCGGTAGGTCCTGAAAACAATATACAGCTTCCAAGATTTGATAATCTAACATCTTTCATTCATTTCTCATTTAACATCATGGATCTGTATTCTACTGCAGATCTCTGCGTGCATCCATTTGTTTTGGTTGGCACTCAATGTGTTCACATAATTACCAAATACTACACCTGGTTCGAGGCTCGCACCCAGTGTGGACTGGTCGGTGGGGACCTGATTGTTGCAGACGACTGCGATCAGTACCACAAGGTTGCCCTCTACCTCGCTGAACAAGGTAACCGTTTGAAAAGTTCGATATAATCTATCAAAATAAACACTGCCTATCAAACTATCAAACCCTGAAGATCTTGTACGGTTAAATTTAATTAAGATAACTAAAACCAGAGCTGTGAGGTTGAGGTTTAAAGTGCGAGTACTGTAGACCTGCATACCTTAGGTTAAAATGGAGTCAATTCATGCATGATTAATTTCTATTTACCCCCACCACCTTAACGCCTTCAGGAAGTGGTTAACTCTACAAACTTCCCTTCCTCAATTTTGTGACACTTATATCGTGAATGATAGGAAAACAGCAGCAGTTTTATTCAGATTAATATTTTGAAACTTATTTCACTATCCCTTAGATTTGTTATCTCTTTTCTGAATAAGAACACAATGCCTTTTGGATCGGGGGTTCCGATAACGATGTTGAAGGAAAATGGCGCTGGGTTGACGGTTCGCCAATGACCATGGGACTGCCTTACTGGGCACAGGTAAGGATACTGATTCGTAAATATTTAAAAGAAGTGCACGAACAAAACTAAACAGCAGCAAACTCTGAAATTCGCACTCATATCAGATTTTGAAAACAATGGAAATCAAATGTTTTCTATCGAAGCTAGATGCCGGTGATATAATCACTAAAAGATAGTGGTATTGTCAAGTAGTTTATCTAGCGTAACTCTGGGCAATAAATTCGCCTCTCAGCTGCAAATGCAAATGAAATAAGTCATAATGAATCATATACAGATGAAATATGCGAATCATATATATGCTTATATTATGCAAATAATCATTTTCAAATGAAATAAGTTCATCTTGCGTTCGAGAATTAACTGCAAAGATAATTTGCTGTTTTCCCCTGGGCAAGATTTCGCGAATTTCTTTAGTCTGTTCAAGCAGCTGCAAACAAACTTATTTTATAACAACAGTTTGTTTCATGGAAAATCTTTTCGGTTCTTAGTTGCCATAGAAAAAGTGGATTATGCACTGCATGATTTGATTTGCTCAACTCAGTAATTTTTGACTGAAACATTTATATTTTTATACACGTATGAACTTAATATCAAAATTTACTTTCCTCGATTGTGGATATCTGAAATCAAGTGACTATAGAAGCATACTTGTTACTGTGAATTACGTTTCCAGTCAGATAAGATCTGGGAATTAGATCAGTGAGGTAAACTGAAGTAAATGCTGTTTAATTAAAATTCATTAGTAATGTATCTAATGACTTAATCGCAAACTTATGGCAAAACTAAATTTTGAAAGAATTCAGCTAGAACTCTATTCAAAAATACGGTATATATAAAAAAATGAAAACCTTGGATGTAATAAATTCATTTTGGTAATACGAAGCTTTGAAGAATCCAGGAACATGAAATATTTCTGAAAATACTGTAATTTAAACAATATATATTTGTATTTCTGCTTCACATCATTGAAGTAACAAAAACAATAGAAGATGTTTGCTTCATTTTTGCGCAGGTTGCATTAGGGGAGCAAGAACCCGACAATCCTGGCATACAGAATTGCCTGGAGCTGAACTGCTCGTGGATGTACCGCTTCAGCAGCACTTGGTGCTATGACGTGCATTGGGTGATCTGTGAGGCAGACCCCATCTAGAGGAGTGCTGTTCATGCCCCATCTAGAGGAGTGCTGCTCATGCCCCATCTAGAGGAGTGCTGTTCATGTCCCATCTAGAGGAGTGCTGTTCATGCCTCATCTAGAGGAGTGCTGTTCATGCCTCATCTAGAGGAGTGCTGTTCATGTCCCATCTAGAGGAGTGCTGTTCATGCCTCATCTAGAGGAGTGCTGTTCATGCCCCATCTAGAGGAGTGTTGTTCATGGCCCATCTAGAGGAGTGCTGTTCATGCCTCATCTAGAGGAGTGCTGTTCATGTCCCATCTAGAGGAGTGCTGTTCATGCCCCATCTAGAGGAGTGCTGTTCATGTCCCATCTAGAGGAGTGCTGTTCATTGAGTGCTGTTCATGCCCCATCTAGAGGAGTGCTGTTCATGCCCCATCTAGAGGAGTGCTGTTCATGCCCATCTAGAGGATTGCTGTTCATGCCTCATCTAGAGAAGTGTGTTTTATGTTCTATATAGAGGATTTTTGTAAACGTTCAATCTAGATGGTCATAAATTCTGTTGTTTCCAGACCAGTGTTGTTATTGCCCTCTCTAGGAGAGTATCATCAATGGCCCATCTGCAGGTTGCTTATATTATACCCGTCTTTTCCATCACAGGATAGGAGGGCTATGGATAGATAATCTTCGAGATTTGTGAATCATTTTCCTAATTCGAAAAGTTTACGAAGTATTATTACACTACAGAAACAAACCTGACACAATTAAAGCAATTGACGATGGAGCGATACAACCCATAATGTACGGTCAACATCGATAAAGTAAATTTCCATAAAAGTTGAGGAAAACTCATTGCATTTTTCATTTCCTATTTAGAGAGTGACATGAGCCTTTGTCCGATTTTACTCGCCTTGGAGGAAATATTTCGACATTTAAAAGCAAAGAAAATTCCACCGCAATTCACCGCATCTCTAAATAAAAGTTTGTAGTGTAGCTCCATCGTTAATTAGAAATTTATAGAATAAAGATGCTATCAGTTTGTCAGTACAATTGAAATAAAAAAAACAAGCTAAAAATTAAATATACAGATAAAACGCAATGAAAACAGCATGAAAAAGGAGTCCATTCTAAATTTCAAGTGGACGAAAGCTAAAGGCTGTGTACAAACGAGACCTCTTTATGAAAATATACAAGGATTCTAAAAAACGTATTCGGAAGCATCAGAGGTGGAAACTAAAATCTCAGTCACTATAGGATACTGACACGTCACATGCACTGATGGGCGTGACTGCCGCGTGAGTGCGCACTGCGCACAGCTGAATGCAGCAGGACGCACTGTTAAATGGGCGGGGGCCATACTTTCAAAACTCGCTAAGTGAACGTAAGTACTTAAACTCTATTTTCTTGCCTATGGTTTGTCGGTTTTGCTTGAAAGGCTGTCAATTATTGGCTGATGAACTTACGATCTCTTAACTTTTTTTGAAGGTATAGGCCCAGTTCTACAACTACTCCATTTATGCTCCGCTTTCCTGGACTAGAGATTGCGTGCAACCTACACGTTAAGACAAAGGCAAGAATATTTACCAGCCAATTAAGGATTTGGATGATTGCTTGTTCAAAGTGGTACATAGGTGAAGTAATTACATCAGACAAGATTAATGAGTTCTAAACCCTAATTACATCATTTTTCTTCCACTGGTGCAGACTTTCATATAATCTAGTAATGTTTTCGTAATCTGACTATTACAAAGACAGATGTTTGAGTCGGGAATGATAATTAATTAGAAGTTTAGTAACGCGGATCTTGTAGTTTGGCTCTAAACAGTGTTGAGAGAGCGCTCGAGTTTGTCAGAATTTGCAAGAGTAGTTACTGAACCGAGCTCGTGGTAACACTTTGCATACGAGCTTAAATCATAGGTTACCGCAATCTTATTTCGAAAATTTAAAAGCAAAGAAAATAGCCAGAAAATTCACCATTTCTTAAAAAGGAAAACGTTTCGGAGACCAGCTCCATCATCAGTTCAAAACCTAAAACACAGGTACAAATAATTAGCAATAAATTCACATTGATGCATAAATCGTCAAATGAGAAACAAACAAGAATGAAGCAAACACGGGCACAAATCTATCTATTTACAATTTCGAGGGGATATGAACTATTAGCGGCATTTAAAATAGGCTTTTGTTTAAGAATAGAGGCATCGCGTATCCCTCTCATTCAGCAGTACGCGTCCATGCCGAGCAGTGCAACGTGCCAGTGTCCGATAGTGATTTTCGAATTTTAGCCTCCACGACCGGTGTTTCCGACTTGCGAATTCTAGAGTCCCTTTATATTTTTAAACAAAAGCCTATATTAAACGCCGCTAATAGTTCATATCCCCTCGAAATTGTAAATAGATAGATTTGTGCCCGTGTTTGCTTCATTCTTGTTTGTTTCTCATTTGACGATTTATGCATCAATGTGAATTTATTGCTAAATATTTGTACCTGTGTTTTAGGTTTTGAACTGATGATGGAGCTGGTCTCCGAAACGTTTTCCTTTCTAAGAAATGGTGGAATTTTCTGGCTATTTTCTTTGCTTTTAAATTTTTGATAAACTTGCGATTTAAGCAGTCAAGTGATTTTAATATCTTATTTCGAATCTTACCCAACAAAATTAACAATTACCCCCGGATAAAACCTGTTCATTTGTCAGGCTTGAGTCATTTGAGCCATTTTCCAGGCTTCAGTCATTTGAGTCAAACCTGCTAGAAGCCTTGAGTCAGTTTTTTCATGGTGCACACCAGATAGTAGCTGAAGGCAGTAGCACTCAAATTAGCCTCTACAAAAACTCGCTCTAGATGCAGGACCGGTCTAGCAGAAGCCAGAGGTAAATGCATCGCTAATATCGAGAGTGTTCTATAACATATTTGTCCTCGACCGCTAGTTGATCTGTAATACATTAAGCACTGAACTCCCGTCGAGTGAGGATTTTTCATATGGTGATCATTTCTTATTGATCGCTTACCGAAAATGTACAGAGCAAATAAGCGCCTCAGTTTAGCACAGTTACTCTACTTAATTCAGAAGGTCACTTCATTTTCTTTTGATACAGCTCATTGAAAAACTGGATTTTCAGCTATGACTCACTTAATTCGCGTAGTATTAAAACCGTTCTCTCTCCCGCAACGACAGTTTCTTACCCATTAAGGCCTTTGTATGTGGTATCGAACTCATATAGTTTGCTTATAATATCTGAAAATTCATTACCCACGAATTTCGGTAATTCATAAGCAAAATTTTACATCTGGTGCATAAGACCTCGATAGCAGAGTGGCTAGCGACGCGCCTTGGTAGTCGCTACCCCAGGGTTCGATCCCAAGCACCTCTTGAGGTTTTTGCAGGTCT